ATCTGGCCCCACAAACCCCCTCTCCATCCTTCCTCTTCTGTCCGCAGGGGCCTGGTCTTTGACGCTCTCTATGGGAACCTGCTGAAGGTGGACTCCCATGGCAACCTCCTGGTCTGTGCCCACGGCTTCCGCTTCTTCAAGGGGTCAGTGCCTCCCACTATAAGATCCCTTCTTGGCTGCTGCTGCTGCAGACTTTGAGGCTAGGACTCAATGGAGCCATGGGTTCAAATGACAGGGAAGGGGATTCCAATTAGACATTAGGACGAACTATGAAGAGATGTTCAGCAGTGGAACTCTCTGCCTCTGAGTCTGATGGAAGCTCCTTCTTTGAAGGCTTTTAAACAGAACTTGGATAGTCATCTGTCAGGGGTGGTTTGATTGTGCTTTTCTTGCATGGCAGAATTATTCTTGAGACTGGATGGCCATCTGTCAGAGGTGCTTTGATTGCACTTTTCTTGCATAGCAGGAGGGGACTGGACTAGATGGCCCATTTGGTCTAATACATACCATAGTTGTTGTTGTTGTTGTTGTTGTTGGTGGTGGTATTATTATTATTATTATTATTATTATTATTATTATTATTATTATTTGAAACACAACAAGGTGAGTCCACAGCAAACAAGATCACTCTGCTGGCTGTTGTATTGGATCATACGTCGGACACTTTCCTATGTGATGTATCAGCGAATAATGCGTGCAGATCCAAGTAGGTGGCCTTCTGCAGCTGGCAGATGGTAATTTTGTCAGTGCTGATTGTGTTTAAGTGCAGGCCAAGGTCTTTAGGCACTGCACACTGCCAATCACCACTGGGATCACCTTGACTGGCTTGTGCCAGAGTCTTTGCAGTTCGATATTTAAATCCTCATATGTGCTCCAAAACTGTCAGTCTGAATTTAGAAGTCCCAGAGTAGTTTGATGTGTTCATTTTCTGTAACTTTTCCATTATTGTTTTTATTATTATATATTATATTATTTCATTATCATTTTCTGTAACATCATCATCATCATCATCATCATCATCATCATCATCATCATCATCATTATTATTATTGAGACTGAATGGGCATTTGTCAGGCATGCTTGGTTTGTGCTTTTCCTCCCCGGCAGAAGGGGGTTGGACTAGATGACCCTTGGGGGTCTCTTCCAACTATATTGTTGTTGTTTTTGTTGTTGTTGTTGTTGTTGTTATTGAGACTGGATGGCCATTTGTCGGGGGTGGTTTGATTGTGCTTTCTCTGCCTGGCAGAAGGGGGTTGGACTAGATGGCCCTTGGGATCCTTTCCAAATTTATGACTATATTACACATTTGCGTGCACACACACACAAAATATCTGTGTTTCTATCATACCTATAATCAATGGCTGGATGGGAATCTATCGGGGGTGCTTTGATTGTGCTTTCCCTGCCTGGCAGAAGGGGGTTCAACTAGATGGCCCTTGGGATCCTTTCCAAATGTATGGCTATATTACACATCTGCGTGCGCACGCACAGCACACACACACACACACACCAATATCTGTCTTTCTATCATGCCTATGATCAATGGCTGGATGGGCATCTGTGGGGGTGGTTTGATTGTGCTTTCCCTGCCTGGCAGAAGGGGGTTGGACTAGATGGCCCTTGGGATCCCCCCACACACATACAGAGACACACACAATATCTGTCTTTCTATCATACCTATGATCAATGGCTGGATGGGAATCTGTCGGGGGTGCTTTCATTGTTCTTTCCCTGCTTGGCAGAAGGGGTTTGGGCTAGATGGTCCTTGGGGTCCCTTCCAAATGTATGACTATATTACACATCTGTGTGCGCACACACACACACACACGCACAATATCTGTCTTTCTATCATACCTATGATCAATGGCTGGATGGGAATCTGTCGGGGGTGCTTTGATTGTGCTTTCCCTGCCTGGCAGAAGGGGGTTGGACTAGATGGCCGTTGGGGTCTCTTCCAAATGTATGGCTATATTACACATCTGCATGCACACACACACACACACACAATATCTGTCTTCTTTCTATCATGCCTATGATCAATGGCTGGATAGACATCTGTCGGGGTGCTTTCATTGTGCTTTCCTTGCCTGGCAGAAGGGGTTTGGGCTAGATGGCCCTTGGGGGTCTCTTCCAACTCTTATGATTCTATGAAATGTTATGAAATTCTATGAACATGCCTCCGCATCCCCACTCCCAGTCTTTCCTCCCCACTTTCCTCCCTGGAAATGGGCCTGGGTCTTCTCTTTGGCAATGGAGGGATGCTCTCAATACAGGAAGCCCCCTTCCCTCTTTTCAGAGCTGAAATCTGGAACTTTTACCCCAACAAGTTTATCCAGAGGGATGACACCAAGCGGTTCCATATCCTGAACACCTTGTTCAACCTGACAGGTAGGTCTGCAAGAGGCAATTGGGGGGGGGGGAGTGCAAGGGGAGACCCCTCCTCCAATCCTCCATGCACTGACCTTTTCCTTTCCCCACATTTTCCCCCAGAGACCTACCTCTTTGCCTGTCTGGTGGACTTCTTCACCAACTGCTCCAGATACGTGAAGTGAGTGTGATGGGGAATTGGGGAAGGGGAGGGGTGGGTCTGCTCCCCTTCTGCTCCCTTTCTACTCCCCCTCCCCACCTGACCCCTCTTTCATCTCTTCGTGCAGCTGTGAGACCGGCTACAAGCACGGCAACCTCTTCATGTCCTTCCGCAGCATCTTCCAAGACGTCCGCGAGGCCATGGACCACGTCCACCTGTCGGTGAGGGAGGGGCCCGGGAGTTAGCCAAATTCTCCCAAAATAGTAGAGTATTTACAAGTAGAACAAGAGCACTTAGTATAGGTGGACATGGGCCAATCAGCTGCTAGGAATTGTGGGAATTGAAGTCCAAAACACCTGGAGGGAGGGCCGAAGTTGACCCATGCACCTGGCCATCAATAAGTTTTGGAGATTGTAACCATTTGGAAAACCACAATCTCCATAGCCTTTTGGAGGAAAATGGCATTCACAACCATCTGGAAATCGTAACCTTTTGTAAAAGGATGATCTTCCAGAGAAGAGCCCAAAACTCGTTTGGGTAAAATCTTCTCTTCAGTGGTATATATCCATATGTACTTATGCAAGGTAATTTGGCTTTTCAGTTGTTAGAGTGATAACCTAATTGTTTCTGATCTGTTAGGAACAGAGATTATGTCAATGCACAAAAATGTAGCAGTTCATCAGAAGTGTTCTTTTCAGTGCCCCAAAATATCTCCTCTCCCATAAACATCTTGTTTCTATATCATGCTCTCAAGAGACAAAAATAAACCAGACTTTGTTAAAAGTAACATATCTGGTTTACTCACAACCTTCATGTATACAGCATACAGGTACATAACTTGTAAATCCAGTTACAGATAGGTTTTGAAGTGGTTTCTCTGTGCAAATAACACAGAGCATCTTTCTTACAATCTACAGCAAGATGAGTTTGCTCTTAACAATCCAAAGTCTCATGGCGCCTCATGGAGTCTGCGCTCTAATGAAGTCTGAAGTTTAAATGGAGTCTGTGCTCTGAGCAGTCCCAGATCTGAGCATATGGTCTGGAGGCCCTCCCACAACCTCAAGAAACATAAAGGGAAAGCTGCCTACCAAAACATGCATATACAATACAGTAAGCACAGTACAAAGTCTCATGGCGTTTGTGCTCTGAGCAGTCCCAGATCTAATCATGTGGTGTGTAGCCCCTCCCACAAGCTCAGGAAAACTAGAGCAAAGGGAAAGCTGCATACCAAAGCATACATATACAATACACTAAGAACAGTCCAAAGTTTCATGGCGTCTTATGGAGTCTGTGCTCTGAGCAGTCCCAGATCTGATTATGTGGTCTACAGCCTCACCCACAACCTCAAGAAACATAGAGTAAAGGAAAAGCTGCATATCAAAACATACATATGCAACACAGTAAGCAAAGATAATAATATTTCAACAAATTACTGGTGAAGAGTTGAAGAAGGTAGCTATTTCCAACAATGAGGACTATAAATGTATGCAGTGTATGGTTGATTTCTGACAATCTCACAGGTGTTGCCCCACTGGCCTGGTGTCCAGAGGAGGTTGGCTGTGAGCCCAAAGAGGCCCTTCCACGCTTCTGACTCTTGCCCCCAACACCAGTCCCACGTTCGGTGCCAAAATGGGACTGTAATGGAAGACACACCACAAGTTGAATCCCAATGGCAGAAGCTGTTTATTGCAGGCCAAGCAATGGGGACAGAATGCATGGAGTATAGAAAGGTCTGATACGCCCCCAAATGGGGTTGTAAGGTTTTATCACTTTGACAGATAATTAAAGACACATTCTCATTGGTATATAGCAATCAGTTATCTCATTGGTCTAAGCTGGCTATACAGATGTTTATTGGCTCTCCATAATTCAATCAGGAAGGCACGTGGGATCATAACAATGGCACAACTATAGTCTATTGTTCTCTGGGCATGAACACTCAGTTGGAAAGTATCTATAGGTTGATACTTCAAGCGGCTGGGAAACTTGGGGAGTACAAGGTCACTAGTTCTGCCTGATGTACTCTTATCCTTACGCCTGCAAGACGTGGACTATCTACAGACGTCACATGCAACTCCTGGAACGATTCCATCAGAGTTGCCTCTGAAAAATCCTGCAAATCTTTTGGGAAGACAAGTGGACAAATGCCAGTGTGCTGGAAGAAGCAAAGACCACCAGCATTGAAGTGATGCTCCTCCGCCATCAACTCCGCTGGACTGGCCACGTTGTCTGGATGCCCGACCACTGTCTCCCAAAGCAGTTGCTCTACTCCGAACTCAAGAACGGAAAACGTAGTGTTGGTGGGCAGGAAAAGAGATTTAAAGCCAACCTTAAAAACTCTGGCATAGACACTGAGAACTGGGAAGCCCTGGCTCTTGAGTGCTCCAGCTGGAGGTCAGCTGTGACCAGCAGTGCTGTAGAATTTGAAGAGGCATGAATGGAGGGTGAAAGAGAGAAACGTGCCAAGAGGAAAGTGCATCGAGCCAACCCCGACTGGGACCGCCTTCCACCTGGAAACCAATGCCCTCACTGCGGGAGAATAAGCAGGTAAAGAATAGGGCTCCACAATCACCTATGGACCCACCGCCAGTATGCCGATCTTGGAGGACAATCCTACTCGGACAATGAGGGATCGCCTAAGTAAAAAGAAGGAAAGTAATTCTTATCCTTGAAGAGTAACTTCCTCTCTGTAGCAACGTTTTCCCAAACCGTCAGCCCCTTCTGCAAACAAAGGCCTCTGCAAAACAGGACATATGGCTGTAAATCAGGACATATGGGATTTACAGTCATTGAAAGTGTCCATGAAAATTCCCTTTTGAAAATGACATCTATGCTTCCTTTCCTCTCCCAGGGCTCCCTGAAGGAGAAGACGCTGCAGGACCTGGAGAAGTATGTGGTGAAAGACGTGAGTGGGGCCAGGAAATGGGGACTGGGGTGGGATGGGGGGTGGGTCCCATCCTCAGGGTTCAACTGCTCTTGGAAAGAGGATCTATGTATTTGGATGGAAGGGGGAAGCACGAAAGAGGAATGGCCAGCCCCATTCCTCTTTCGTCAGGGGTTGAGGCTCTAAGGCAGTGGTTCCTAATGCCGCGACCCCTTGATACAGTTCCTCATGTTGTGGTGACCCCCAACCATAACATTATTTTTGTTGCTACTTCATAACTGTAATTTTGCTACTGTTATGAATCACAATATAAATATCTGATATGCAGGATGTATTTTCATTCACTGGACCAAATTTGGCACCTGATACGCCCGAATTTGAATACTGGGATTCGTTTTGTCATTTGAGAGTTGTAGTTGCTGGGATTTATAGTTCACCTACAATCAAAGAGCATTCTGAACTCCACCAATGATGGAATTGAACCAAACTTGGCACACAGAACTCCCATGACCAACAGAAAATACTGGAAGGGTCTAGTGGGCATTGACCTTGAGTTTTGGAGTTGTAGTTCACCTACATCCAGAGAGCACTGTGGACTCAAACAATGATGGATCTGGACCAAACTTGGAATGAATACTCAATATGCCCAAATGTGAACACTGGTGGAGTTTGGGGAAAATAGACTTGACATTGGGAGTTGTAGTTGCTGGGATTTATAGTTCACCTACAATCAAGAGCATTCTGAACTCCACCAATGATGGAATTGATCCAAACTTGGCACACAGGACTCCCATGACCAACAGAAAATACTGGAAGGTTTGGTGGGCATTGACCTTGAATTTTGGAGTTGTAGTTCACCTACATCCAGAGAGCACTGTGGACTCAAACAATGATGGATCTGGACCAAACTTGGCATGAATACTCAATATGCCCAAATGTGAACACTGGTGGAGTTTGGGGAAAATAGACCTTGACATTTGGGAGTTGTAGTTGCTGGGATGTATAGTTCACCTACAATCAAAGAGCATTCTGAACCCCACCAGCGATAGAATTGGGCCAAACTTCCCACACAGGAGCCCCATGACCAACAGAAAATACAGTGTTTTCTTTTTTCCCCTAACCATAATCCTTAACCCCTAACCCTAACCCAAAATACAGTGTTTTCTGATGGTCTTTGGCGACCCCCTCTGACACCCTCATGACCCCCCCAGGGGTCCCGACCCCCAGGTTGAGAAACGCTGCTCCAAGGGGCTCCCCGCTTTCTCCAAGCCCCTTGCTAGAAGTCCTGACTCTCAACATGGAGTGCTGCAGTGTGCAGAGGGCCTGATCCGCAATGACATTCTCCAACCCTCCACTCCCACAGGAACGGATCCCACTGCTCCTGAGCCGCATGAAGGAGGCCGGGAAGGTCTTCCTCGCCACCAACAGCGACTACAGCTACACGGATGTGAGTCACGCTCTCTCTCCCTATCCAAAGGCTTGTCCTCGATACCCTCTTTCTACAAGGCTGTCCTAAGAGCTACCCAGAGGACAAAGCCAGCTCACAAAGAGGGCTGCCTTCCTTGGACCCAGAGCCACTGGAGCTGCCTCTGGATAGCCTGGATGGGAGCTACTCAAAGAATAATAGAGTTGGAGAAGACCCCAAGGGCTAACTAGGCAACTCCCCTGCCATACAGGAAAAAGCACAATCAAAGCACCCCTTACTGATGGCAATCCAGCCTCTGTTTAAAAACCTCCAAAGAAGGAGGCAGAGAGTTCCACTGTTGAACAAATCTAGATGTTCTTAGAATCATAGAGTTGGGAGTCCAACCCCCTGCCAAGAAGCAGAAACATTGCATTCAAAGCACTCCAGTTGGCCATCCAGCCTCTGTTTAAAAGCTTCCAAAGAAGGAGCCTCCACCACACTCCAGGACAGAGAGTTCCACTACTGAACGGCTCTCACAGTCAGGCTTACTTTCTGCTGCCCTGGAAACGAGGACTTGGAGGCATGGGTTCAAATAACAGGAAAACAGTTTCCACTTGAACATTAGGAAGAGCTTCCTGGCTGTTCAGCAGTGGAACTCTCTGCCTTGGAATGTGGTGGAAGATCCTTCCTTGGAGGCTTTTAAACAGAGCCTGGATAGCTATCTGTTGGGGGTACTTTGATGTTGCTTTTCCTGCATTGCAGGGGGTTGGACTAGATGGCCCAAGTGGTCTCTTCCAACTCCATGGTTCTATGAATCCTGACCCTGTCTTCTCACTTGGCAATGGGCTTCTCTCGTGCAGGCTATCATGACGTACTTGTTTGACTTCAATCAAGAAGGAGAGGTGAGTCCATGGAGTGTGTGCCCCAGCGGTTCCATGGCCTGTGAGCCCCAGCGGACCCTCAAAAGCAAGTGACACCTGGCAGTGTGGTGGCCTGTAATGTGGTCAGGGGACAAGCAACAATCCGGTAGGGAGGGAGTGGGCACTGACCAAGTGGTCTCCTTCCTGCCCTTGGATGGAGAAGGGCAAGACTCAGGTGATCTGTCCCTCACCTTTCTCTGTACCTCGCTGTCTCCATCTTGACTAGTCCTTCTCTGCTGCAGGAGGGACCTGACCCTCGGCGCTCCTGGCGCTCCTATTTCGACCTCATTGTGGTGGATACTCGCAAGCCACTGTTCTTCGCGGAGGGGACGGTCCTGCGCCAGGTCAACACCGTAAGTGTCCAGTGGGGAAGGAAGGGGGCAGGGATCGGGGCAGCAGGGGAACCCAGGCTGGCTCAAGGGACCTCAAGGTTTCCTAAAGCAGAGCGAGTGGGCAACGGTATCCCAACCCATCACTAAGCAGGGACTATGATATTATGCTTACTTACTTAGGTGATCCCTCATTGTCCAAGTAGGATAGTCTTCCAAGATCAGTGTACTGATGGGTCCGTAGGTGACTGTGGAGCCCTATTCTTGATCTGCATCTTCTCCTGCAGTGAGGGCATTGGTTTCCAGCTGGAAGGTGGTCTCGGTCGGGGTTGGCTTGACGCGCCTTCCTCTTGGCACGTTTCTCTCTTTCGCCCTCCATTCGTGCCTCTTCAAATTCTACAGCACTGCTGGTCACAGCTGACCTCCAGCTGGAGCACTCAAGGGCCAGGACTTCCCAGTTCTCAGTGTCTATGCCAGAGTTTTTAAGGTTGGCTTTGAGCCCATCTTTCAATCTCTTTTCCTGTCCTCCAACATTCCGTTTTCCGTTCTTGAGTTCGGAGTAGAGCAACTACTTTGGGAGATGGTGGTCGGGCATCCGGACAACGTGGCCAGTCCAGCGGAGTTGATGGCGGAGGACCGTCACTTCATTGCTGGTGGTCTTCACTTCTTCCAGCACGCTGACATTTGTCCGCTTGTCTTCCCAAGAGATTTGCAGGATTTTCAAGAGGCAATGCTGATGGAATCGTTCCAGGAGTTGCATGTGACATCTAGATAGTTCACATCTCGCAGGCGTATAGCAGGGTTGGGAGGACAATAGCCTTATAAACAAGCCCTTTGTATCCCTGCTGATGTCCCAGTCCTCAAACACTCTCTGCTTCATTCGGAAAAAAGCTGCACTCGCAGAGCTCAGGCAATATTGTATTTCAGTGTCCATGTTGACTTTTGTGGAGAGGTGGCTGCCAAGGGAGCAGAAATTTTCTAATGTTACACCATTAAGCTGTATTTCTTGCATTTGAGAGGGATTGGCTGGTGACTGCTGGAAGGGCACTTTGGTTTTCCCAATTTTTAATTTTAGGCCAAACTTCTCATATGCTTCTCGTATGCTCATAGGCAGTCCCCAAGTTATGGACAAAGAGAGGTTCTGTAGGTTTGTTCTTAAGTTGAATTTTTATGTAAGTCGGAACAGAAACATTTCTTACGTGTGACTTTAGTCAAATATATATATAGCTTTGGATGCATAGGGAAGGGTGAAACCCAGTGTCTGTTGCTGTTTGGAAGATTTCATCCTACTTTCTGTCTTTGTGACAATTGGGTTTTTTTGAAAATTTGGCTTGCTGTGGAAGCAAGGATTGGAGATAACTTACAGAACCTCGGTTGTTCATAACTTGGGGACTGCCTGTATATATTAGATATATCATATCATCCTAGAATTGGCTTGTTGTAGAATTTGACGTGTTGTGGAAGCAAGGATTGGAGATAAAGCTTCACTGGAGACCCCTTTTCCTATTATACTAACTCTTCCAGGAATAAATTTCCCTTCTGAGGATAAGATTCTGTTGGGCAAGTGGGCTTATTAACAAATAACCCTCTCCATAAATGCACAGCAGAGTAACTTATCAGCAGCAGCGTGACCCAGCACAACTAGACCAAAGTGACAGAAAGATCAAAAACACACAGACCAATGCTATCTCTTCCATAGGGGGCTTTTTTTTGGTAGTAAAATATGGTTTCCACAACACAAATAAAGTCGCAGATAAACAGCTTCGCTCTCATAGAGCTTCCTCTCACACTGAAATTACACAGGAGCTTCACATAGTAGCTTTACACAGCTTTACACACGAGGCCTTTAAAACATGGGGCTTCTCTCACCAAAGCTTCTCACACTCTGAGGCCTTCTCACAGTCAGAGACCTTTCTCCCACTGAGGTTTACCTCTGACCAATGGCTACTAAGCTAGTTAATTTTTAATATTTCTGACAGATTCCTTTCACTTTCTTGTCTCACTCCATTCTTAACTAGGAGTTGTTTGTAAGTCAGATGCTTGTAACTGGGGGATTTATTTACAAAGTTTTTTCCTAGGTTCTTGTGGGTTTTTTCGGGCTATAGAGCCATGTTCTAGAGGCATTTCTCCTGACGTTTCGCCTGCATCTATGGCAAGCATCCTCAGAGGTAGTGAGGTCTGTTGGAATTAGGAATATGGGTTTATATATCTGTGGAATGGCTGGGGTGGGGCCAAGAGCTCTTCCCTGCTGGAGCTAGGTGTGAATGTTTCAACTGACCACCTTCATTAGCATTTGAAGGCCTGGCTGAGCCTGGGAATCTTTTGTTGAGAGGTGTTAAGATGTGCCTGGTTGTTTCCTCTCTGCTGTTTTGCTGTTGTAATTTTAGAGTTTTTAAATACTGATAGTGATTCCAGCCATGAAAGCCTTCGACAATACATTTATCTCCTAACTCTTTATGGAGAGCTAGAGTGCCCAGAACCTAAGAATGGGTGAGGGAAACAGACTTCAGAGGGCTGCAGACTCCATTTCTTGCATTTCTGATATATCATCCTTGTCCATGGTTGCAGGACACGGGGAATCTGCGGATTGGGACCTACACGGGGCCCCTCCAGCACAGCACCGTCTACTCCGGAGGTACGCTCCCCATGTCCTCTCTCCATGCCGGGCCCCCTTCCCCTTCCCTTTTCGCTGTGGGGTGGTGCTGGGGACAGTGTGTGTGACCCCAACCCTGGGATCTCCGATTCCGGCCCAGGCTCCTCGGATGTGGTGTGCGACCTTTTGGGGGTGAAGGGGAAAGACATCCTCTACATCGGGGACCACATCTTTGGGGACATCCTCAAGTCCAAGAAGCGGCAGGGATGGAGGACCTTCCTGGTGGTGCCCGAACTGGCCAAGGAGCTCCACGTCTGGACTGAGAAGAGCGGTGAGGGATGGGAAATGGATAACCGGCACATGCCCTTGGGAAGGCTTCCTACTCATGGCACCAATCTTGTTGTTGGGATTTAAAAATGGAGAAAAGCACCAAAATAAAACAGCAGTATATAGCAAGTTAGCAGAGCAGTAGCTCAGCCTCTGAGCACAGCAGCGGAGCAAACGAACTCCATCCATTCAAGCAGCAGAGACAGGTTTAAAAAGTTACAAAAAGCCTTATTGGAAAGAATGACATTTCTGTATAGGAAAGTTAGGGTCAATCTATCTCTGGATGGAGAGGAGGACAAAGGGAAGATGGACCTGGAGTTCTATGTGGTCTGAAATTTTAAGAAAGGAGGTATGTCTCTGAGAGTTATGAGTCTCACAAAGAAGAAATAGAGAGAATAGAAGACAGGCACAGAATCATAGAATCATAGAATCATAGAATCAAAGAGTTGGAAGAGACCTCATGGGCCATCCAGTCCAACCCCCTGCCAAGAAGCAGGAATATTGCATTCAAATCACCCCTGACAAATGGCCATCCAGCCTCTGCTTAAAAGCTTCCAAAGAAGGAGCCTCCACCACACTCCGGGGCAGAGAGTTCCACTGCTGAACGGCTCTCACAGTCAGGAAGTTCTTCCTCATGTTCAGATGAATCTCCTCTCTTGTAGTTTGAAGCCATTGTTCCGTGTCCTAGTCTCCAGGGAAGCAGAAAACAAGCTTGCTCCCTCTTCCCTGTGGCTTCCTCTCACATATTTATACATGGCTATCATATCTCCTCTCAGCCTTCTCTTCTTCAGGCTAAACATGCCCAGCTCCTTAAGCCGCTCCTCATAGGGCTTGTTCTCCAGACCCTTGATCATTTTAGTCGCCCTCCTCTGAACACATTCCAGCTTGTCAATATCTCTCTTGAATTGTGGTGCCCAGAATTGGACACAATATTCCAGATGTGGTCTAACCAAAGCAGAATAGAGGGGTAGCATTACTTCCTTAGATCTAGACAGAGGTAATGATGGGTTCACCCTACATCCGACCTTAGCTGCCTATCCATACTTGCCATCAATGAGGACTATAAACTTGCGCAGGGCATGGTTGACTTCCAATACATGTGTCCAGTTGAAGTCTTGGCTGGCCTCAAAGACCCTCTAAGACCAGTGTTTCTCAACCTGGGGGTCAGGACCCCTGGAGGGGTCGCAAGGGGTGTCAGAGGGGTCGCCAAAGACCATCAGAAAACACAGTATTTTCTGTTGGTCATGGGGGTTCTGTGTGGGAAGTTTGGCCCAATTCTATCATTGGTGGGGTTCAGAATGCTCCTTGATTGTAGGTGAACTATAAATCCCAGGTCTATTTTCCCAAAACCCCACGAGTGTTCACATTTGAACATATTGAGTATTCGTGCCAAGTTTGGTCCAGATCCATCATTGTTCGAGTCCACAGTGCTCTCTGGGTATAGGCGAACTACAACTCCAAAACTCAAGGTCAATGCCCACCAAACCCTTCCAGTATTTTCTGTTGGTCATGGGAGTTCTGTGTGCCAACTTTGGTTCAATTCCATTGTTGATGGGGTTCAGAATGCTCTTTGTTTACAGGTTAACTATAAATCCCAGCAACTACAACTCCCAAATGGCAAAATCAATCCCCCCCAACCCCACCAGTATTCAAATTTGGGCATACCGGCATACCAGTACTGCCATCTGTTGAGGAGTTATGAAGGTGGAGGCATTACTTTTCATTCAACCCTCGTATATGTGTGTGTGTTATTGCAACAGGTTGGAACCCTTAAGCCTGATTATGAATTCAGCTCTGTTCTTGTTGGATTTCTTTATTTGATGGTTGGTTTATTTATGGGTGTGTAAAGTGAAATTAAACATCTTTTAAAAGGAGAGAGATAGAGCTTGCTTTCAGTCTGTGTGAACCAACAGTGACTCTTTCACATTGAAAGGACGATTGAGCCCATCCGGGTCACTCCCTTCTTTCGGTGCTGACTACATCAGGTCTGTATTTGTCAACCTCCTGACTCATGTTTGCCCTTCTGGCTGCAGCTCTTGGTTCTCTGGCGAGACATGAGGGAGGTGCCGCACGACATCACCCCATCAGTGACCACAAATGAGGTGGCCAGAGGCTAAGTGGACATCTGTCGGGCGGGCTTTGATTGTGCCTTCCTATGATTCTGGATGTGAGATGTCATCCAAGCCATCTTATCTCTTGTATCCCACTCATCAAGAATTTTGAGTTCAGCAAAAAATGGTCAATAAAACCACATTAGGACAAAAAGGGGAGTTGAAACTGGACCTGAGAACCAGGTTTAAATATATGAAAGGATGTCACATTGAGGTTGAGTGAAGTCCTTTTCTGTTTCCTTGGAGGCTAGGGCTCAATGGAGCCATTGATTACAATTGCAAGGAAAGAGATCCCACCTAAACATTAGGAACAACTGAGTTTTTGTAGGTTTTTTGGGCTATATGGCAATGTTCTAGAGGCATTCTCTCCTGATGTTTCGCCTGCATCTATGGCATGCACCCTCAGAGGTAGTGACCTCTACAACAACTACAACAATTCAGTGATTCCAGCCATGAAAGCCGTTGACAATACATTAGGAACAACTTATTGATGGTAACAAAGGTTTGGCAGTGGGATCTGTTCCCTGGGAATCCAGTGGAGTCTCCTTCTCTGGCGCTTTTTAAGCAGAGGCTGGATGGCCATCTGTCCAGAGAGATTGGATGGTGTCTTCCTGCATGGTGGGTGTGATGGCGCGAGTGGTGCCACCTATATGTAGAACTGTAAGTTGCAGGATTTGAACTGTTGTATCATGCCTGATTTTGCCTTTTTTCCCTGTTAATGTATAGCTGGGTTGATTGGTTATTTATAGCTGTCAATCAATGTTGTTTGCACCAGTTGAATTGCTCCTCCTGCTCAATTGTTTGACCACACCTCTTCCTAGAGAGCAGGACAGTGTTTCCTTTTCCATTCCACCATCAAACTTTCTATCAGATGAACGTGAGTGAGGGACTTGGCTCTAAAGCCCTTGATTAAGTTACCTCTCAGCACCAATTCTGAGGTTCTTACCCTTGAGACTTATGCTTCATGTTCAGATCAACCTGGACAATGTTGAGAAGCCTCAAGCGCCTTCAAACCAGTTCTTTGGCACCAGAGGACGGCTTTGTGCCTTCAAAATATAGGCCATTGGAATTGGGGTTGTGATTATTCTGATATTCACAGCGATTGAGAAAGAGGGACCTGGAAAAGCTTCTCAGCTGCAAAACTCCTTGGACCCAAGACAACCAGAGACTGTAATGTATATTTTCCTTTACCCCTTTGAAACTTCCAGCTTATTGCCTTAAAGGGATAACTCTTTGTGAACAATAAAACCTATTTTGAGATATCAACAGTGTTTTGGTCCTTGGGAGTTCCAGTTTTCCTAAAGGAAGGCAAGAAGCAATCCCCTGGGGAAAGATGTCACGTCCATGCCTCTTTCACTAAGAGTTATAGCCCCCAGGCGCGACGGCACAGTGGGAGTTGGACTGGATGGTCCTTGGGATCTCTTCTAACTCTACAAGTCTATGATTCTATGAGATCTGCTGGATGGGATTTCTTCCCAGTTGCATCAATGGTAAAGTATACACTATACAGGGTCTTCTTTGCTGTAGCTTGCCTATTATAGAACCAATTAACTCAAATTACAGTGAAAGTGATTCCACTAAACATTGACTGAGAATAACATGGGTTACCTCAAAAGTTGGCAGAGTCTCCTTCTTTGGAGGTCTTTAAACAGAGTTTGGACATTTGTCATCAATTGCACATTCCTGCATTGACCAGGGGTTTTGACTAGATGCCCTTTGGGGGTCCCTTCCAGCTTCAAAATTAAATTAATAATGAGAACCCAGTGGAGTCTCCTTCTTTGAATGGTGTCTCCCTGTATGGTGGGGGTTGGATTGGATGGCCCTTGGGGTTTCTAGAATTTTGTGATTCTATAACTCAACCCATGGAATGCACACAAATGGGGAATTTCCTCCTGGATAATTCCACACCAGAGAAGGGTTTTAAACCCCTCCACTGCATCCAGTCATGTTTTGGCTGCCTTGTTTGTACCACAGCTGGCCCAGTGTGGTCTCCGCTTGCCAAGGCATTTCCTCTCCTGGCAAGGCTTTGGAGTGACTCCTCTCCATGACTTCAGCCGCCGAAGGCAAAGTGAGCAAAACAGAGCAGTTCCCTGCAGAGGGCGAAGAAAGCTGGATGGGGTTTTGGCTCCGAAGGCTGGATAAACAACTAAGGGACAAGCCGTCACCCTTTAAAAAATAATTGTCAACAAGACGAGGGAGATCCAGGCTTTTAGAAACTGCCAAGCGGCAGCTTTCCTTACATCAGTTGCCTCCTTGATCTGACCTTTTTTGGATGGGCCATACCACTTGCTTCTGCTGCTAGGAAGAGGCTGAGATTCAGACCCCAGTTTAGTCCAAGATTCATCTATTTGTATCCCATTCACTCCACAAAACTGGGTCCCAAGATGGTTTTTGTGCATATGTAGGCCTTTAGGTTGCTTGTGGATTTATGGTGATCTCATGAATTTTGGAAGGTTTTCTCAGGCATGGAAGTTTTGGAGGTCATTTTGGAGGTCAAGTTTTGGAGGTCATTTTGCTAGTTCATTCCTCCGAAACAGAGCCTGATACTCATTGGTGGTTTTCCATCCAAATCCTAACCAAGGCCGTTAATTTTAAGATTTCTTTCCTGTTTAGACAAGACTAGAGGATTATCACTCCCACAGAAGAGAACCAAATATGAATACATTAATTTTCTGAAAAGGAAGCTGAGCCTCTGACCATTTGGGATCATCACTCTTTGTCTTTCGAGGCTTACAATTTAGTTTCAACAGAATTGGACACTTTAAGTTAATCAAGGAATCATCTGCATACCTACGTCACCACTTACTTTGGTTTTGTGACCTCCCAGGAGGTGTCTGCAATTGATTGGACCTTTGAACGGTCCAACATCAACTGTTCTTCTTCCCATCTTGGGGATCTCCTTCAGGCTGCGACATCAGAGGAATCGCCAGTCAATCTCTGTGTGAATCCTAGCCGGCCCTGCTTTTCAGCCAATCATGGGAGAGAGAGCAAAAAGTCTGAACAGCTATCAGAACTGCATAAAAGGTCTTGTATTTTTCAATGAATTTGTGCTTGTACCTTTGAAAGCGTGCTGCTTACACTTGCATTCTATTTGGCCAAGTCTTAGTAAACCTTTGTAGCTTTGTCTTCAACCTGAACTACTTGTTCTCTGTCCTGGCTGGTCTGGTTTAGCAGAAGATCACCAGGCACAGACCTCCTTATCCGCGGTCCTAGATGAAATCTCTACATTCTGAAATACAGCCTCAGCACTGGGATTCCTTGGCAATCCTTCTGAGATTTGGACTGCAACTCCCAGAACTGCATAGCACTGAGATCCCATCCACACTGCTGTATAATCTAGTTTCTGAATCCAGATTATCTGGTTTGAACTGGATTATATGTCAGTTTAGATCCATCCTGAGCCATGGTCGTTAAAGTGGTGTCCAATTGCATTCCTTCTACAGGGTAGATGCACCCCAAGATAAATACCATCGGCATGGAACCTATTTTTCCTTTGGCCCCAAACCCAAACATGCTTCATTGCCCAGGCATTTACAAGGGGAAATATTGAACTCTTAAATTTAATTGACTCTAAACTGTTTTTGGATGGATTGCATGGATTTATGGGTTTTTTTGTCATTGCTTTTGCAGCAGTTTGCAAAAAAGAGAGCCAGTTAAACGGTTTCATTACAGGACATAAAGGTTAAGAGCCCAGTGGCAAGTTATATGACGCATCTACACTGTCAAAGTAATGCGGTTTGAAACCACTTTAACTTCCATAGATCAATGCTATAGAATCCTGGGAGCTGTAGTTTGGTGAGGCAACAGCAGAAAAGACTAAAGACACTGTAAAACTATAACTCCCAGGATTCCATAGCACTGAGCCATATGGTTTTAAACTGAGGCCAAACTCAATTGAGTCTACAATGTAGATGCACCCTGTGACGGCTCGAGTGGCACCACCTATGTATAGAACTGTTAGTTGCAAGGCTTAAACTGTTGTATCATGCTTAATCCTCCCCTTTTTACCCTGCTTATGTATAGTTGTATGGATTGGTTACTTATAGCTGTCAATCAGTACTGTTTGGCTCCACCTCTTCTTGCAGGAGGGGAGTGCTTCCTTTCTTTTCATTCTGCCATCAGAGTTTGTACCAGATGGATGTGAGTAAGAGACTTGACTCTAAAAGACCCTGATTTAAGTTACCTCTTAGCACCAGTTCTCAGGTTTTTTACCCTTGAGACTTGTGCTTCATGTTCAGACCAACCTGAACAACGTTGGAAGTCTCAAGTGCCTTCAAACCGGTTCTTTTGGTACCAGAGGAAGATCCTGAGTCTTCAAAACATAGGCCATCTGAACTGGGGTTGTGGTTTGCTCCGGCATTCACAGCCATTGAGGAAAGAGGAAACTTGGTGAGGCTTCTCAGCTTCAAACCCCTTGGACCCAGAACTAACTGAGACTGTAATGTATATTTTGAAGTTTCCAGCTTATTGCTTTAAAGAAATAACTCTTTGTGATCAATAAAACTTATTTTGAGTTATTTACAGCGTTTGGGGTTTTTGAGAGTTCCAGTTTCCTAGAGGAGGGCAAGAAGCAATCCCCTGGGGAAAAGATGCCACGTCCATCCCTCCTTCATTAAGAATAAGAGCCCCCAAGCGCGACAGCACACACCCTCAGAGAAACAGATTTATTTTAGCATCTTTTAATCAGAGTCTGCAAAATTGACAGAAATCCAGAAATTAGTTTTAAATAATACTCCTACTAATTGGTCTTAAAGGGTTTGCTAGATTCCTTCCTCCAGTTTCCATTTTCTAATTTCCTTGTTGTCACATCATGCCGTTTCTATGTACCATGGAATTTCCTTTGGAGGCAAAAGGTCAACATTGGAATTTTTTAAAACAGGCAAACAGGTAAGCTTCCTTTCCTTCCTGCTAGGTAACACAAGTAACAAAAACACACAACCGAGGGCTACGTGTTGTTGCAGCGATGCCGTTTCCTCCTTCTGCTTTTCCTCCCCATAAGGCCCCTTTGTTCCCCCATCGTCTTAGGGCGTGGGCATTTTTGCACACAGATCTCTTTCACTTCCACAGACCATTGAGTGTTTTCTTCTCTCCTGGATTCGTCCTCCGATGACCCGAAGCTCCTGGCTCGTGCCCAGGTGCCCATACCTGCTGCTCACCTCCAGAAAGAACCAAATTCTTGGCCTGTTCCCAGCATCCTCCATCCATCATCAACCTGCAGGAAGGTAATGGAAAGGTGCAGCTAGACCAGGGGTTCTCAAACATTTTCAGCCACGAAGCCCTTTTTGAAGCAAAAAGTTTCTCATAGATTCCCAAGAAATAACCCTGAAATACCTACAACAAACCAATGTTTATATTATATATTATATAAGATAGATAGAAAGATAGAGAGATAGATAGATAGATGATAGATAGATAGACACACACACACACACACACACACAGAGAGAGAGAGAGAGAGAGAGAGAGAATGTTCATTTGTGGGATTGACATAACTCAAAACCCACTGGACGAATTGACACCAAATTTGGACACAAGATACCTAACAACCCAATGTATGTCCTTCACTCAAAAAATGGATTTTGTCATTTGGGAGTTTTAGTTGCTGGGATTTATAGTACACTCACAATCAAAGAGCATTCTGAACTCCACCAACGATGGAATTGAACCAATCTTGGGACACAGTTCTCCCATGACCAACAGAAAAAACTGGAAGGGTTTGGTGGGCATTGACCTTGATTTGTAGTTCACCTACATCCAGAGAGCACTGTGGACTCAACCAATGATGGATCTGGACCAAACTCTACATGAATACTCAATATGCCCAAATGTGAACATTGGTGGAGTTTGGGGAAAATATAATCTTGACATTTGGGAGTTGTAGTTGCTGGGATTTATAATTCACCTAAAATCACAAAGCATTCTTCTGGTTCCTGACTGGCACAACCTGGGGATCACAACCAGACACAGTGAAGACATCTGCCCCTGCGCTGTGCTACTCTGCTGCTGAGTATGCATGCCCGGAGTGGAACACATCTCACTACACTAAAACAGTGGATGTGGCTCTTAATGAGACATGCCGTATTATCACAGGGTGTCTGCGCCCTCCACCACTGGAGAAATTACACTGCTTAGCCGATATCGCACCACCTGACATCCGCCGGGAAGGAGCAGCCAATAGTGCAAGGACCAAGGCAGAGACATCTCCAGCTCATCCCCTGTTTGGGTATCAGCCAGCACGTCAACGACTTAAATCTAGAAATAGTTTTCTAAGATCTACAGAGACACTCGCTGGAACACCTCAGCAAGCGAGAGTCCAAAAGTGGCAGGCTCAAACCCAGAACCTCAACCAATGGCTGATACCAAATGAGAGACTCCCCCCTGGGCACACAGAAAACTTGGAAGACTTGGAAGACCCTGAACAGGTGCCATTCTGGCACCACGAGATGCAGAGCCAACTTTAAGAAATGGGGCTACAAAGAGGAATCCACAACATTCAAGTGTGGAGAGGAGCACACCACTGACCACCTGCTGCAATGCACCCTGAGCCCTGCTACATGCACCAGGGAGGACCTTCTTATCGTAACACCAGAGGCACTCCAAGTGGGCAGATACTGGTCAAAGGATATTTTATCAACTAACAAGCTTGCAAACTCTGTGTCTTTTGTATGTTTGTTTGTTTTTGTTAAAAATGTAATACAAATGTCTGGTTGCTGATGACACGATAAATAAATACAGAGCATTCTGAACCCCACCAACGATAGAATTGGGCCAAGCCTCCCGCACAGGACTCCCATGTGGGCCACAGCAATGCGTGGCAGGGGACGGCTGGTGTATGTATGTGTATATACACACACACACACAAACACACACACACATATATCGGGCATGGGCAACCTTTTTGACCAACATAAGCTGAACTGTATTTCAGTGGAAGACCCCAGGGGGCATCAAACTGAACTCCTTTCTGTCATGCAGGAAAAGCACAATCAAAGCACCCCCACCAGATGGCCACCCAGCCGTAGTAGTAGTAGTAGTAGTAGTAGTAGTAGTAGTAGTAGTAGTAGTAATAGAAACCCAAGGGGCCATCGTGGAGCTCCCCAGAGCACATTTTGATCTCAACTATTGGATGAATGCAGTTTGACACCACTTCCACTTGCATGGCCCAATGCTATGAAATCCTGGGAGTTGTAGCTCTACAAGGTCTTCAGTCTTCTCTGCCAAAGAAGGCTGATACCTCATCAAACTATAGCTCCCAGAATTTCTATAGCTTTGAGCCAAGGCAGTGAAAGTGGTGTCAAACTGCAGTACAAATGCACCCTAAGACACGTGGCCTCTACTCTGTGGAATGAATGCAGTTTGACATCACTGTAATTGCCTATAGAATCCTGGGAGTTGTAGTTTTACAAGGTCTTTCACATTCTCTTCCAAAAGTTTGGGCAAGGATAAGATCCTGAGCAGAAAGATGTATCATAAACACCAAAGTCAGATGAAGGAACTATACTGTCAAATTAATTTTAAAGCAGAGCTTGGATGGCTATCTGTTGGGAGGGCTTGGATGGTGTCTTCCTGCCTGGCAGAATGGGGTTAGACTGGATGGCCCTTGGGGGTCTGTTCCAGCTCTAGCATTCTATAGTTCTATAATGTGGTTTGACACCATCTAATTGCCATGACTCAATGCTACACTACCGAGAGATGTAGTTTGGGGAGGCATCACCACTCTTTGTCAGAGAAGGCTAAATACATGAAAATGACAACTTCTCTGATTCCATAGCAGTGAGCCATGTCAGTGGAAGTGATATGACAAGTGGAGTGCCGCAGGGTTCCATCCTGGGCCCGGTCCTGTTCAGAATCTTGATTCATGACTTAGATGAAGGGCTAGAAGGCAGGATCATCAAGTTTGCAGATGACACCAAATTGGGAGGGAGAGCCAAGACTCCAGAGGACAGGAGCAGGATTCAAAACGATCTTGACAGATTAGAGAGATGATGGGCCCAAACTAACAAAATGAAGTTCAACAGGGACAAATGCAAGATACTCCACTTTGGCAAAAAATAAAAAAAGCAAAGATACAGAATGGGGGACAATGCCTGACTTGAGAGCAGTACGTGTGAAAAAGATCTTGGAGTCCTCGT